ATTTTGGGGCGGTTGTGGCTGAGTGGTTAGAGCAGTCGTCCTATAATGCAAGAGTTGGGGGTTCGATTCCACCAGCAGTCACGTGCCCAAGTGTCCCTGAGCAAGACAATGAACCCCTCATTGCCTCCAACGTGTGTGCCATCAGTGTATGAAAGTGATAAAGCTCTGATTATTCTTTGTAGAGATCTAGTAGAGTTCTGTATGAATGGGTAAACGAGGGCACAGATTGTGTTGTAAACAGCATTGAGTATCTTGATAAGATGGAAAGGCGCTGTATAAATACAGTCCATTTACCATTTATATTTATGTGAATGCTTCTGAATCATTCACACTATTGTGATCTGTGATCATTTGTCTTCCGTATGTTTTTTTTTTACATCTTTCTCATTCCACAATTTTTGTACCATTTCAACAAAATGTTCAGCTCGTTCAGGAGAAGGGTGCGATGACTTTTGGTATTGGTGCAACTTTAGCTTTTTGAAATATTTAGCCTTTTCGGTCAATTTGTCCTCATAGAAAATGAATAGAGCTCATTTTACATCTTTCAAATCTTTTGATCTGTTTACAACCTTTTGCTGCTCCTTTCACATTTTGTTCTGGTTCCACTTCTTTCAGCTTCCTTTGTGCAAATTTAAACTTTTTTCAGCTATTTTCAGCTAATTTCAGCTGTTCTGGCCCTTTCAGATGCTTTCTACTAACTAAAACATTTTTGGGCTTCTTCTAAATTGTTTCTGCTAATTTCAGCTTGTTATGCTCCTTTCATCTTATTTCTGCTAGTTTCAGCTTTTTCTGATATTTCAGCTACTATTTAGCTGCTTTTATGCTAATTTCAACTTTTTTTCAGACTTATTCGGCAAAAATGTTCTCTCTCCACTTCCTTCTGGCAATTTAAGCTTATTTCTGCCTTTATAGCTGATTGTCAGCAGTATTTTGCTAACTTAAACTTTTTCAGATAATTTCTACTTTTTTGTGCTCATTTCTGCTTTTTTCAGCCCAATTGAGCAAATGTGTTCTTTCTGCTTTCTTCTGCTAATTTAACCTTGTTCCACCTTTTCAGCTACCTTCTTAGCATTTGCTTTTAGCTAATTTAAGTTGTTTCCAGATAAATATAAGTTTTTTGTGGTAATTTCTGATACCAACAAAGTCCATGCTCAATAATCCAGGTATACAAAACAACAATTTTCAGTCAGGTCATCTGGACAGTTTCTTTCTTTTTTTTTGTGCTGAAACGTTTCACCTTCCGTCCAGAAGGCTTCATCAGTCAAGGAAACACACAACATAAAACTGATTCTTCCCCCAACAGCTTACTCCAAAGTGGAACAAACCAGTTATGTTGGTGCTTAGATGGTCTCTTTGGCACGCCCCATCCTCCAGTGCCGGCCCTCTCCCTCATCGGCAGTCGTGTCAAACTGGTTCAAAACCAACAAAGTCCATGCTCAGTAATCCAGGTATACAATCCAACAATTTTCAGTCAGGTCATCAGGACAGTTTCTTTTTTTTTTTTGGTGCTGAAATGTAATTTCAGATACTTTCAGCCTTAATTAACGTCTTTCTGCTAATTTTAGCTTATTGTGCTCATTTCAGCATTTTGCTGCTCGTTTCAGTATTTTATGCTATTTCAGCTACTATTTAGCTGTTTATGCTAATTTTAGCTTTTTCCAGCTAATTCCACATTTGTTTTAGCTCATTTCAACTCTTTCTGCTTCTTTCTGGTTGATTAAGCTTTTTTCTGCCTTTTCAGCTACTTTCAGCTGTTTTTAGTTGTTGTTGCTAATTTCAACCTTTTAATAGCTAATTTTCTATCTTTGTGCCCATTTTTGCTTATTTAAACCTAATTCAGAAAATATGTGTTATTTCTGCATTCTTCTGCTAATTTAGACCTGTTCTTCAATTTCAGCTGCAATCCAGCAATTTTTAAAATTATTTCAGCTGGTTTTCTGCAAATTCTTCAACCATAAGCATTCACACTGCAGGAACTGTAATTTCTCTAGTTGTCATTTATTATCCTGAACTGCACTGACCTCAGCCGTGACCGTTTGGCAGCTGACCTCCCTGCTCGTTGTGGACGCAGTCTTTATTAACAGCTTCTGTTTTGGCGTCTCGGTTAAATCCTCTGTCATCGTTCCTTGAGTCGTTTTTGGGACCTCCAAACCTAGAAGGCTCCGCAGCCTCTGAGCCTCCCGCTCCAGAGAAGCCAGCTTCTGCACTTTAGCCTCCCGGTCACCTCCCTCTGAGGGCTGCGTCCTGCTCTGCAGCCCCTCCGTTCTGCTCAGCGGGGACACGACCCCAGTCTGGGTGGCGAGGGGCGAGTAGGTCCAGGTGTGGCTGGTTGAGATTTGCTGCACAGTCTCCGCCTGGCTGCTGCTCATCTTGAACCTGTTTGTTTGTTTCCCATGATGCAAATCCTCGGGGCTGTTCTCTGAGTCAGGCTGGTACCCTCTCCAGCGCTTCTTTGTTGCGTGGTTAAATAAAGATTCAGGCTTCCTCTTGTGGCTACAGAACGCAAAGAAAAGTCAGTTACAGATATTTTTAGAACCGTATTGACAATGGCCCCAAACTTTTCCCCCAGTTTTTAACTTAAATCCCAATATTTTAACATTTTCTAGCAGTTAATGCTTTTCTTTGAACCAAGCATTTCTCATATGTCGGTCTCTTCTCAAATGAAGCAGTGACTGTTGTTGCTCTTCTTGTGACTGTACCCTGATCGTCCCCCACCTTAACATGTCTGCGCGCTGCTCCTCCTCCTTCTCCTCCACTTCCTTTGATGTGTCTCTCCTTGTGCTTTCAGACCTCCGGTCGTTTTCCACGTCTGCTCCTTCTTGCTCGAATTCATCGGATTCCGTGACGACTTCATCCTTTCCAGAAGTTTTCTCTTTTGAGTGTGCGTCCAACTGTGCACCGTCGTCATCGTTTGCGTGTGTGTCTTTGTGGGGATCTGACAGGACATGTGTGTCTGTGTCCTCATGTTCGAGTCTCTTTTCCTGCAAGTTGCTTTGACTGATTGAGGTCGTAAGTTCAGGTCTGTGTGTGGACGGACACAAAGGCCGCAAAGGATCGGATGAACTCTCTGGCAAGATTTGATGTGTAGCCGTCTGCTCCTTGCACTGCAAAACAGGCATGGACTCTCAAATTTTATTTTATTTTACAAAAATTGAGCAAAACTGTAGCCAAACATACAACATACCTCTAGTAAATGTTCCTGTTTTCTCCGCTTGGACAGCTCGCTGTAACAACAAAACGACCTTGATGAAGAAAAACTACAGAAAAAAAGATTGAATCATGATAATCAATGATGATCATTTAAATTAAATTCTGCTTATTTGTCAAGTTTTCAGCTCACACAACTTAGCAAGTAGCTGGATAATAGTGTCTAATGATCAATAAACTAGTAAAGCAAGCGAGTCAAAGTGATTTATTAATTGCTAATTCATAACAGAAGAACAATAAAGTTGAATTCCTGTTTCCTTTTTAAGGCATTCTAACAGTAGAAAATATAATGACACTTCTAAAAGTCCTAATATAATTAATTCTGTGTTTTTATGTAGCCGAAGGTTCATTCTCTGTCTGAAACAAGCTTTTTGATCTCTTAAAGAAATAGTTCAGATCTTTTTTGATAGGGTTCTGTGGAAAGTGTGTGTATAATTATTGGGGACGGCCTAGTAAGGCAGCACCTATTATTATCCACCTGACAAGGTTTTCTTAACTTTACATCTTACTCTACCGTCAACTTTAATGCAGCCCGAACCACAATGGGTACCCCCACAAATGTTATATCAAAACGACCGGCTCAGTGCCGTGATGTGTGCTATTACTTTTATTGGCATTTCGAATTACCATGGTGATGTAGTTTGCAAACAAAGACACTATTATTATCACAAATTTTTCATACTCTGGCTTGCAAATCAAATAGCCAAGATGGCCACCTGAGCTAAAAAGGAAAAATGCTGTAAATCAGCCATTTGTAGAGATATTAGTCTGAAATTTAGCTGAGAGCAATGGCCAATAAATAATGAATAAAAAATAATAATTCAAGATGGTTGCCAAAGCTACATTTAAATGGCTTTAACTCAGCTATTTTTACACATAGAGCTGAAATTTGGTGTGTTTATAGCTGAGAACCTTCCCCATCACGTACAAAAGAATCCAAGATGGTCACCATAGCTTAAAAAAAAAGACTAACTCATTGATGTTTTGTCATTTTGAACTGAAATTTGTTAAGGTGGTTGCTGACAGTGAACCCAAACACATACTGTCAAATCAAAAATTTAAAATGGCCACATGGCAGTCCCCATCAAAACTTCTCCAGGAACATTCTAGTTGTTTTATTTGCTGTAGACAGCTTCACACGGCCTCAGTTTTGAAAAAAAAAAAAAAAGTTTTAGACTAAAATGACAACTCACTGGCTATTTCTTGAAGGCTGTTCAAACAGAAATCATGTTTTTTGTAAATCAAAATAGCAACAGAAGTTGGTATTTGTAGCCTGGATGAACTTGTAGCAAAAATATCATATTATTTCTATCAAAATAAACATGTAATGTGAAAAATGACTGCAGCAAAAAGGTTGATAAAACAGCGTTTGCATGTTCTATTAATTTCAATTATAATTTTTTTTTTTTAGTGGTTATAATTTTTTTAATGCTGTAGCAATCCACTTTGCTGCTGGCTCATTGTTACATACAGAATTAAACTATTTCTCCAACTTGAGGTGATTTAAAGAGAGATCTGCAACAGGTAAGATGTTAATTGTTCACAACATTTCCACAGAAACCTGTTTTTAAATAGCTGAGCTCTCCCTTTAATGTTACTAGAGGAAAATAAGAGCTGTTTTAACATGGTAAAATTCACAATCTTATTAATTTCTAAGTATTGTTAAATTTTGATGTTTCTTAGCTTGCCAGAAATGCACTTTGTCAGACAAAAAGCATTAAATTCAAGTGGATGAGACTAATAGCTGGAAGCCACAAAACATCATGTAAACCATGTAAAAGACACAACGGCGTGCAGGAAGAAAGGCTGTGTAAAAAGTTTGTGTTAGAGGTTTAGAGAAATAGGGATTTACAGTTTCTTGTAGTTTTTCTGGTAGCTGGGTGTCAACAGTTTCTCACCCTCCTCTGGTTCCTCTGGTGATGAGCAGCTTCTACAAATACAAAGAGACCCAGCAAGCGAGTCAAAACACTGCTCAGGATCAGTTGAACAACTGACATATGTGATGGCTTAATGCTTTTAATTCAAACATATATCTAAGAGACATGAGCAACATAATCGTTTGCTTATTACTGTAGAAACTCTTATGGACAGCAGGGACACAGAAGGAAGCAGGGATACTCAAGAGTTTCAACATCTGCACAGAAAATGTGACAACAAAATGATCTTGAATTATTAAATTTTTCTATCTCATACCAGTGGATTATTAATCTGAATGTGGCAAAAGCAAAACATCACCAGCTTCTGCATTACTTCAAATAATTTATGTATTAGGCTATATTAGTTCATTATAAATGCAATACTTTAACAATAATTTTAAAAGTATTAAAAATGCGCACCTGTATCGTGAATTAGGATTCTGGCTGCAATCCCAGCTGTCGGGAGCAACTTTGTAATGGTTTGCGGGGATGCTTCGCCATTTCAGACATTCCTCACACTGCAACCACAACAAATCCCTGTAAATGCAACCACAGAACTGAAGGTGAACAGAGTTACAATTCATTCACCAGAGATTTTGCTTAGAATTAACAAAGTTGGATTTTTGCAGCTGAACGCATCTCCTCTGCAGCTGCACGAACGAAGAAATTCAGCTGGATCTTTATTTTCCGTTGTAGCTTAATTTTAAATGTGCTCTGAGTTGGTTGCAGAGGCGGTAGAATTCTAAGCTTTTATTTAAACTGAATAAAAAGCATCTATTTTCACATTTCTTAGACCTGACAAGCGCCTGGGTGAGACAGATTTGAAGTGATGTGCATCATGTTGGCTTGTTAGCACGTTGCTTTCATTTCCTCAGTGTCATGATCCGTGTCTTTTGTGTTACTTTTTGAGTACTGTGTCATTTTGGTATCTTGTTTTGCTTGTGTTTCAGCTTTCCCAGTGTTTTCGCCCTCATGTAGTTCAGCCCCTTCCCCTCCCACTCCCACCTGATCCTCATTGTCTCCCCCCAGCTGTTATCATTTCTCTCTCATTAGTTTCCCTATAAAGCTTCTGTTTTTTTTTTTTTTTTTAAGTGTTGTCATGCATTGTGTTTTCAAGCCAGTCGTGTTTTGTTCCCCTTCAAGTCTTTACTAGGATTTTTCTAGTGTATATTTTTGCTGCATCTTCAGCTTTTTATTTTATTTTTTTTGTAAATAAATGACAGGTCTTTACTTTTACCTTTGAGTTTTCTGAGTTTGGTTCTGCAATTTGAGTTCTCTGTTTGTACCAAACATGACGCTCAGTGGCTTTTACACCTTGAGGAACACAGTTAAAAGCCAGGTGAAGATAAAAACTACAACATTTAAATTTTTACAACACAACTTTATTTTAATATGGTAACTTTAAAGTAACAATTTGAAGATTAAAATTAAGTTTGCTTGGAAGACAAGCAAAGCCTTGAATCAAGTTAAAAACTATCCATCCTCCAAATTAGTCCTGGAATAAAACTCTTTATTCTGAGCTGGATTCTAAGAATTATAAAATGTATTTTTGTGGATTTATTGGCATTTTATTTCCCGCAATATGTCCCGACCAAAATACCATTACTATATTTTACCTATAGATTTCTATGCCCTGATTGTTAGAGCATATGTCACTGTATGAGCTGAAGCAGCTTTCGACCACAGCCTTTCCTGTAATTTTTTTAGATCACTTTGTGCTTGATCAGAATGCAGATTATTCTTGAGATAAATCACAGCTTAGAAGAGCATGCAGTATTGTTCAAAACACAGAACAGGGTGAAGTGGTGAAGCCGCTGTGTGTAGATTGTCAATGATATCTGACAAATGTTGCAAAACTTGTTAGACAGCTGCTTTGTTGGCAGCAGCAAAATGATCAACTCTTCTGATGGTAAAACAACAGCCACATTTACGAACACTTTTATAAAGACCTCATGCTGTATCACAGTCTCTCTGGCTAATCCCACCTGCCATTGACTCTCTTGTTTTAATGGTTTAGGCAAAATGGGCATTCTGAGGACTAACAGCTGTAACACCAAGTTATTTCTCAAAAACAGTTCATTTGAAACTCTCACTTGTTTATGGGAAGCCCAGTAAGTTTGTCTCTGGGGCTTCATCCTCAGACCAACAGCCAGGCCAAGTGGGTCAACCAGCACAGTGTGTTGTGTTTTTGGATTCACCCTGTCCTGCTTGAGGATGACACAGACTTGGTTTACTAGTTTCTCATCTGGTGTTTATATTGGGACAGACCAGTTTGTCCCAATATAAATGTTCCCCAGGCAATAAGCCAAAATAGCTGACAGCCCAAAGGAGGAAGGAAACGTCCGCGCTATCTGTGCAGTTTTATTTAAACTGAAGAAACTGTATTTCTTCCATTTAGAAAACAGTTGTTGGTGGACTGCTAAGGTATTCAGGTCCTTAAATACACACCTAATAACAAAGAAAGACTTCTGCCTTCTAAAACTACCTCCAGGAAACTATCACCTCAATGCATGGGTCCTGTTGAGCTCTATAAACCTGTTGTTGCTCTCATAAAATGCCCCCGATTTATGAGAGTGGACGCTTAATTCCACTTTTCTGTCTGAAACGTGTCCCATTTAGCCACCGAGACCCTCTTTCCAAATCCCCATCTCCCCGCTCACATATCACTCATCATCCTACCAACAATCTTCCTAAATGTTTGGAGGTGCAGTAAACAGAACCAGCTGTAAAATATTTACCTGTGTTGTAACTAAATCTCAGCTCTAACTGTCTCTGTATTTGCTTCTCAGTTATTATTTTAACAGGACTGGACTGAGCATTGAAAAATGAGGTATGGGAAGTGATATGCATCAGTGCAGCAGCACTAAAGTTTTATCCCGTCAACACACAGCCTGTAAAGAATGGCACGAGGTGTAACATGAAATTTCACTAAAGCACAAGAAATATTAGAGCCAAGTTATGACAGCATTTGTACATAAAAAGCAGAATATAAATCACTTGCATAACTGTGAGACAAAACAAATACTCACGTGTTGGTGCATTCCTGAGTTTCATTGTCATCTTTTTCTAGAGACTGAAACTCTCGCTCTCTGGCTCTCTTCTCCATCACCTCTTTCCAGTAATCGTTGAGCTTTAGGCCCAAAGCGCCCAGGGTGAGTCTTGAGAGCCGAAAAATGAAACAACAGTTAATGTTTTTACTAGTTTTTCCTCAATTTGATAAATTCAAAAACACAAGTAAAATCCTACCGAGGAAATGGGGAAAACGTTTGGTTAAACGTGTTGTTGAAATCCAATTAAACTACCGTATTTTCCGCCGTACACATCTCACCGCCCTATATGTCGCATCAGTTCAAATATGTCTAATAAAGTGGAAAAATCCATAAATACGTCACTTCGCCGTATAAGTTGCATCTATTATTAGTCACCACTGATGCATCGCGTTTGTTACGCGTCACTGCTGACAACCCGGAAATGTGGACCGGTGTTGTGCCAAAAATTGTGTGGTTGCCAAATGGCGGCTGCGGGAGCGTGCACAAGAGGACTTTTTAACAAGAATTTGCCAAAAATAACACTTATAAACAATTATTTATTTGCTCGAAATTATAGTAAAGGTGTGTCTCTGTCTAACTTTTGCTTAATAAATGCACTTTAATGATCAGATCAGCTGTATTTCAAAACCAGACTCGCAGAAGCGGGCGCAAGCAGAGGGACGAGTCACTGTGCATTTCTTCAAAATTTAACAAGATAAACACCTAAAAGCAATTATGTGTTTGTTCGACTTTATAGTAAAGGTGTGTTTCAGTTGAACTTTTACTTAATAAAAGGACTTTAATGGTCAAATCAGCTGCATTTCAAAAGTATTAACTGCCCTGGTGCTTCGGGAGCGCGCAGACTGGGAGGAAATCAGGAAGGAGAAACGCTGCGCATTTCTACGAAATTTAACAAGATAAGCACCTAAAACAATTATTTTTTTGCTTGACATTATAGCAAAGGTGTGTCTCAGTTGAACTTTTACTTAATAAATGCACTTCACTGGTCAAATTAGCTGCATTTTGCCAGAACAGCACAGCAAAATGAAGCTGATTTAACGGTTGCTCCAAGTGAGCTGGACAAAGGTGGAAGGCTATGGCAAGCCAACTGTGTCATTAATAGCCACTTTTACTTATTACATGACACAAAAGCATGCCATACTACTCGAGTGCCATCTAGCAGCTGAAAATGGTAGTGTTCAATATTTTCTGTCAGAATTAATGAAAACGGTCATATCTCAGCCAAAAATGGTTTATAAATATGGGAAAAATTCCATAAATAAGTCACTTTGGTGTATAAGTCGCAGGGCATATAATTTATGCAAAAAAACTGTGACTTATAGGCCAAAACATACGGTACTTCAGATACCAATACTTCTGCCATTTGGATAGGTTACTTTCTTTGTACTGTACCTGTATTCTTTAGTGTACTCAAAGTCTTGCTTGTTGTGAGCAGGTTTGAGAAAGTTGCATTCAATGATGCCTACGACACCAATTCCTATTCTTTGCCCTGAGGCCTGGTTAAGAATAAAAAATAACAACAATGAAGCGCCAGTAGTCAGGTCTTTACATTTTGAGTATACAAGTGCAAAATAATCTTTTGTTACTCTACCTTGAGCTGGCAGCCCACTTTCTCATAGGCCTTAATAAGTCGGTTCTTGTGGTACATCATGATTCCAAAGTGCTCTTTCCTTTTAGGGTTAAAGCCAAAAGTCACCTTCACCTTCTCTTTCTGACAAACACCAGTTAAGGATAACAACTCAGAGTAAGTTTTTCAAAAAACACTGAAAACCATGAAACATTTACGGTACACAAAAAGCTAGTGTGTGTTTTAAGTACTCATAATCCTAAATTGGTCTGCAATGACACTGCACCTCTAGACTGGAACATCTGCTCTTTGTCATTGTGTTCTGTGTATCCGTACCCAGCAGGTGTGGCTGGGTTGTTTAGTATTGATCACATCAGCCTTGTGAATTCACTTTTTATAATGAAATCCCTGGACTCAGGAAGAGGTCCTGGGTTCAAATCTGTGACGAGCCACCAATTTTTTTCAACTTGATCAAAGATGCAGCAAAAGAGGGAGGCTGCACACCAAGTTACAGCAATCAAAAATTAGTTTTATTTTGTATTTAACTGAATAAACCCAAAATTGGTTCATCAAGGTGATGATCAATGAGTGAAGACTTCTGTAAATTAAATCAAGTCCAAAAGCGATCTCAAGTTCAGATCCCGGACGAGCCCCCAAATTGTTCCTGGTGGCTAAAAATTTCGTAAAAAAGTGTACTGCCTTGATAAATACCAGTTAAAAATACTTCTATTTTTTTCTTTACAAAGAGCCAATAAATTTTTACTTTCTGTTTGTAAATGAATAAATGTTTAAGGATACACTGAACTGGGGTTTGTACACGTCATGTTCAATGTGAGTCAGACTTTTTGACACCAGCTTGGGCAGAATTTTCTTCCCTCTCAGTATGACCTGCGTCCTTGGTTTCAGGTACAAAATACTGATGTATGCCTGAGAAGAAGCACACAAAGAAGAAAAATGCAAAATCAGATTTTTTTTTTTTTTACAAAAACATCAACTTGATATTTATATTCAGGCCTTGGATGTCTTCATCAACTCCAGTACACATCTTTTAAAAAATCATAAAACATTATAAACAATCTATATTTTAATATGATTCTTACAACTGGAATATTAAAACAGAGATGATAAACCACTGACTTCACTTTAAAGAGAAACTGAAGCAGCGTTACTACAAAACCACAAATGTCTTTAGTAGTGGAAAGGTTCTTAGACAGTGCTTGAAACTGGAGCTCAAGAGCTACACTTGCCCTACACAGACTCTTTCATCATCCCACACATACCCTAACCACAAAAGCATATATTAATTTTGGGTAATTTCTAAACACATTGACAAATTTTTGACTTCACTACAAACATGCTACACATTTAACTATTATGAAACCTCTAAGAAAATTCAGTAAGCATTATTTGCTGATTTTTCTTAGAGCTTTTATAATGTTTTTTTTTTTAGTTACTATGCTTTTCATCGTCTCACATTAAAACTTGTCCCTTTGAAACCTTTTGGGTATGTTTGTAAAGAATAAATTAAAGTATATTTACATTTGAGCTATTTACAAAACTGCTTGGTATGGGTCATTCGACCAAAGTTAGATGCATTAATTTTAAGGGCAAGAGAAAATCAATAGCAAAATGAGGAAGTATTGCTGACTGCTTTTGATTTATTTTTCAAAATCATCATCATCACCAACAGAGAACTTTTCCTGTAAGATGAAAGAACAAGCAGCACCGCAGAAATTGTCTCAGTTCCATTCATTGTTCTTGATTTAATCGTCCAGGTCTATTCGTTTAAGATCTTCATTCTGGGTCTGGTCTGACTGTTTTAGTATAGGAGGAACTGATCTCACTGCTGAAGATGTCAGACTGATGATCAAGAAGTCTTTTCAGCAGTTATTTACGTAATTTTGTGCCCGATGTGAGTTCCTTTCTTAGTAAGGCAATTAAAACACAAATCGTACAAATAACAATGTAATCTATTAGCTAAAAAAATAACCAAGTAACCTTTTAACATACCGTTTTCTCAGAGTTTAGTACACATGAAACTGACAAGTTGTTGAGTATCTGTGTTACTTTAAACCAGTTTGCTCTGTGAATGCATTGGCACAGATTATAACCAAGCATTGTTCAAGGCATCAGCATAGTAGAACTGCTAATCATTAGAACTGCTAATCATTAGAACTGCTAATCATACGAGCACATTAGCTGAGCTCCATTTATTGCACTTGTCCTCCTGAACAGTAGTTGTTACTACTGGAAATAATCCACCTAATAGCAGGAAAGGCACTAGAAGAAATCACAGCACGGTTTCAACTTATTTGCATTAGTTGAAAGAAAAGCATTTTAAGTCGTAACATCAAGGTCCTATGAAGTGGGTTTGTGCGGCAAATGTTTTAATTCCAATTGTTTATTTGATGATAATCCATCCATCCATTATCTTTACCTGCTTCTTCCTTTTCGGGTCGCAGGGGTCACTGGTGCCCATGTCCAGCCATCACTGTGTGAAAGGCAGAGGACACCCTGGACAGGTCGCAAGTCCATCACAGGGATCCATAGAGACAAACGGGACAAACAACCATTCACTCTCTCTCACTCACACCTAGGGACAATTTAGAGTTACCAATCAGCCTAACATGCATGTTTTTGGTCTGTGGGAGGAAACCGGAGTACCCGGAGAAAACCCATGCATGCACGGAGCGAACATGCAAACTCCACCCAGAAAGGCTACCGGCCGGGATTTGAACTGGGGCGACCTGCTCGCCGAGAGGCAGCAGCTCTACCAACTGCGCCACCGTGCTGTCCATAGATGATAATGAGTTTTGTAAATCAGATGGTCCATATAAAACAAAACTACTACTCCAAAAAAGTTCAATCTGGTCCTCTGGACATTCAAAAAAAACAAACACAAACAAAACAAAGCAAAAAAAATGTAGAAACATTTCGTCTCTCATCCGAGAGACTTCCTCAGTCTGAGATGCTGTATTCAGCTCAGTCTATTAACCCCAGTATACTGCCGCGTACATCCATACGCAGAGGTACGCACGTCCATACGCAGAGTACGTGCGTACCCCCCAGGGCATGTCCATGCAAAGCTCCAATTTTTACGACCGCATACGCGTACGTGATGTCGCACAATAAACTGCCCAGTGACGGACTGTTTTGTATGCAACACCAATGTATTAAATTCCCCTTCTTCATCCCTGATCTGGCCTTTTCTTTTGTTTTTTTGCCAAGAGGCAAGTGATCTCTTCCTCCTCCGTTGATGCCATGACTGAAATGGTGAGAAATGAAGGAATTTGTCACGAGCGAATTAAACTCAGGTCCTGCGTGGCTGCAGGAGGGTCTGGAGATTTTCTGGTGGGCTGGTCTGATGTGCGGGCTGTAGAGCCAGCTCTCCCTGTTTTTTTTTTTGTTGTTGTTTTTTTAAGATCTTTTTATTAACAACATATAAACACAGAACACCGCTGCGGCGGACGCTGCCAGCACTCACTTTTTTCTTTTTTCCGACCTGTCAATCAATCCAGAAGGCGTGTCAGCAAATGACCAATCGGCGACCTCAATTTATCCCGAAGGTAAACGTCCGTTGTCTGTGAAGCTGCTCTGCAGCTGCTCAGGGTGTACGCTGGAGTATCATGTCTGAACCCTCTGCGTACAGTACACGCGTACGTCCGTTCACACGTACGTACGCGGCAGTATACTGGAGCCTTAAATAGAACCTTCTCAGAGTGGATCAACCAGTTTGCTGCTGACAACCAAAACCAGCTGCTCACATGGTCAAGAAGGACCATCAGCCTAACAATGGATCATTAGCACACTGATGGCTGTTTACTATTCACAGGGGGTTGAGTGATACTAGCAATAACAGCATTGTAAGAGGGGGACAGTTGAACACGTAGGCCTCCACCCCTGTTTAATGATGGACGATTTCTTTTCACAAAGATGGCCTCCTTTAATCGAATCTCAAACCATCGTTCCTCTCTGTCCAGGATGTGAACATCTTCATCCCTGAAAGAGTGACCGCTGGCCTGGAGATGAGTGTAGACCACAGAGTCCTGGCCTGATGATGTTGATCTTCTGTGCTGGTCCATCCTTTTGGCCAGTGGCTGTTTAGTTTCCCCGATGTAAGACTGATCACAGCCCTCCTGACACTGAACAACATACACAATATTACTCTGTTTGTGTCGGGGGACTGGGTCTTTGGGATGAACCAGTCTTTGCCGTAATGTATTTTGGGGTTTAAAAGCCACTGGGACGTTATGTTTAGAAAATAAACGTCTCAGTTTCTCTGATACTCCCTCAACATATGGAATGACCACTGGTCTGAGTTCCTCCTTTTCACCTGTTGGCTGACTGGAGTCCTGTTTGGGTTTCTTCTCTGCTTTCAGGAAGGCCCAGTTAGGATATCCACATTGCTCTAGAGCAAACCTGGGCATTGTACGGCCCCCGGGCCGCATGCGGCCCTTTGATTGACTCTGACCGGCCCGTGCAACGTTAATTGGAAATTACAAAATAAACATATTTTCTTATTTTACCTGATGCATGGACTGAAGCTGCAATGCTTTTATTTTGAAGTTTTTTTATTTATTTACGTACATGATGACGCAAAGCGTATATTGAGACATGCGCGTGATTTGATCGTTGTCACTAGCAAGTCACAAGACGACTTCAGCCCTCAGAAATGTCTGCTTATGCTAAAAAAAGAAAGGTAGATGAAGAATGCAGGGTTTTCAACAAAAATTGGACTGCTAAGTATTTATTTACTGAAGTCAGGGGTAAAGCCGTGTGTTTAGTTTGCGGGGAGCAGATCGCCGTGTTTAAGGACTACAATTTGAGTCGGCATTACGAGACGAAACACGGGGAGAAATACAAGAACATGACTGACGCTGAAAAGGCGCGGACATCGGAAGCTTTGCTAGCTAAACTGCAAAAGCAGCAAGGCTTTTTTACCAAGCTTCACACATCCAGGGATGCAGCAACCAAGACCAGCTTTGTGATAGCTCACAAAATCGCTAAAAACAGTAAGCCATTCTCGGAGGGGGAGTTTATCAAAGAGTGCTTGGTGGACTCCGCAGCTTTAATATGCCCTGAAAAAAAAGAAGCATTTGAGAAAGTCCCGCTCTCCAGGCGAACCGTGACGAGAAGGGTGGAGGACATATCGTGGAATCTGGAGCTTCAGCTGCAACGTGAAGTGGCAAGTTTTGACTTTTTCTCCTTGGCTTTGGACGAAAGCTGTGATGTCTGTGACACAGCCCAGTTACTCGTATTTGTCCGCGGGATCACGCCGGACTTCAAGATTACGGAGGAGCTGGCAGCAATGCGGTCGATGAAAGGGACGACTACAGGGGGCGATCTCTTCATGGAGGTGAATGCGTGCATGGACACACTGGGACTGAAATGGGACAGACTGGCAGGTGTCACAACGGACGGTTGTCCAAATCTTACAGGGAAAAATGTGGGACTTTTAAAACGTATGCAAGATAAAGTGTCTGAAATCGACTCAGATCAGGAATTGGTATTTTTGCATTGTATTATACACCAACATGTGTTGTGCAAGTCAGTGCTAAAAATTAACCATGTTATTAATGTTGTTACTAACATAGTAAACTTCATCAGGGCACGGGCATTGAATCACAGACAGTTTGTCGCACTTTTGGAGGACCATGAGTCTGAGCATAGTGACATCGGCTACCACACACCTGTCAGATGGCTCAGCCTGGGCAAAGTGCTAAAAAGAGTTTGGGACCTGAAAACAGAGATTCAAGAGTTTTGTGAGATGAAAGGCAAAGACATCCCAGAGCTCTCAGATGAGGACTGGATGGCAGATTTTGCATTTGCTGTTGATGTGACTGCACTGATGAATGACCTGAACACCAAACTGCAAGGCAGGGGCCTTTTTGTTCATGAAATGCACACCCTGGTGAAGGCTTTCATGA